TTCGCAGGCCGGCAATTTGAATTACATTAAGAATGTTGGAGAACAAAAATCATGCTCGTGGTCCCTCATGCATCCATATGCATGTAGTAGAATAAATGAACGCTAACGCACATCAATTGATTGTTAATTTTATTTAATCAAAATAACTTTCAAACCGATAACAACATTAAATGCGGTAAGTCAATTGTTGAAGCTTATAAACTAGAAAACGTTTTTCCTACAACATGCACGCCAGCGATAAAAAAAATTCGAAAACAGTGTGCCATTTATTAAAAACACTGTTTAAGATGTACTCAGTTCTTTTGATGCTTATCTATTCCTTTACTAAGGCTTTTCTAAGTCTCCACAACGATCATTATTGCAATTCACTAAAAAAAAATTTTCAAAGCTTTAAAACTTCTCGTCTGACTTTCTACATCCTTGACAAAAGTTTTTCTCATCGATGATCCTCATAAAAGCTGGACGAACCACTGAGTTTCTATTAATTTGGCTTAGTTATTTCAGTCAGTCAACACGTTTCAGTAAGATGTGGAACAAGTCCATGAACCTTTTGACAATTAGCGCCACAGTTTCTTTAAAATCATCTGTTTTACTTGAAATGTCCACTTGGTAGATAGCTCTTGATTAAGGAACTTCCTGACTTGTAATGGGAAGCTTTTTCATCTCAGTTTTTCTCCACTGCCTGTGCAATGGCTGACAGCATATTTTTGGCAAGCTTACCTTTACATTCTTCTTGTATAGTCTTCTTCTGCTTCTCCAACCATTCGTCCACATAGTTGCGGTCTGTGCCCTCTGTAGGCATAGCATCGAAGTCAGTCTTGACCTCCAGTAACGCTGCATAAAACACTTGGCAAATAGACTTCATATCCCTGGCTTCTACCTTCATTACTTTGAAGAAGATAAATTTTGGGTCGTCCTCGCTCTTTTTGGTGTTGTTTTCGAACTTTTGCAGTTCATGTTCCATAACAGAGAAAAAGCCAGCTGCTTTAGAAATTCCATCAATGAAGGCTTCAAAGGCAGGAACGAGGGTTTTTTCCTCTATCAAGGCGGCTGCCTCTTGAATCTAGGCTCGCTCTCCAGCAGCAGTGGCTTCTGCCAAATCTTTATC